CACCCAGGAGAGCGTGCAGGGATGCTGTGGGGACAGGAGTCCTGGCTGTCACCCATCCTGGGAGTGTTCAAGGCCAGGTTGGATGGGGCTTCCAGCAACTTGATCTAATGGAAGGTGTCACTGCCCATGGAAGAGTAGTTGGAAAAAGATAATCTCTAAAGTCCCTTCCAACTCAAGCTATTCTATGATTGATTTCACCAAGCCAGAAACTTGGTCAAATAAAGGAAAAGCATCAATGGGAAAGATCATGCTTGTCCAAAAATCTGCTGGCTGATGGGGAGAGCTGCCAGCCTCCCCAGGAAATGGCAGCACATGAGCTCCCATGTGTCACAGAGAGCAGCCAGTGGGGACAGACTGAACAAGCTCTAATTTTATACACACTAGTCAAGGATTTCAGCACTAAAGGTTCCCACAGCAACAGTAACTTAGCCACATGTGAATTAACTTCAGAGACATAATCCATACTCAGGCATACATAATGAAGCATTTGCCATTGACACAACTCAGGGCCAAAACCTCCTCTGCTCCTCCAGAGCTTGGGAAATGGCAGAACACTTAAACCAAGACATGAGCAGCTGGGGGCACAGGTGATGGTGTGAGGAGAGATGGTTGCAATGGTGCTGAATAGAAAAACATCTCTCTGCTGGCAAACTCCTGCCTGTGGGGCAGCTATGTGTAAGGAGAATGTCTGGGACAATGCTCATCACCTCTGTGCTCCCCATCCTGTGCTCTGACTGTGGATGGAAAAGGCAGCAAAGCCCGGATGATGCCTCGCTGTGCAGGAAGGCAACACCCAAGCCAGTTTTTCCCTGCCCCGGGTGTTTGCTGGCTTGGGTCACCCCAGCATCGTGACTGCCTCTGAGAACAGAGCCCACAGTGTCATTTCCCCATCACCCAGGCGTGGGGCCGCTTCCTCCCCTCCAGTCACAGGGCTGTGAGCTGGCAGCCCAGCACCGCAACCGCAGCGGATCCTCTGCACCAGCCTGAGCCCAGCGTGCACAGCTGGCACTGCCCTCTCTGCTCCCCAAAATCCTCCACCCCTGCTTCATCTCCTCTGGACTCCTGTGCACCCTGGGGAGGGCAGGTGCCATCTCTGGGGACACCCATGGCAGGGTGCTGCCTCCAGGTGCTGCCCCAGGTCTGGGAGTCGCTATCAGCTCCAGGCTCTGAAGACCCATTGGACCCACTGGGTACATAAACCTGGCAGCTCAAAAACATCAGGGCTGTGTCTGACAGACAGAGAAGGAGAGCGGCCATGTGCCTCAGGCCTGGAAGAAAGTGGGGATTTGGGAATGATCTCAACTCAGGCCCCCCTGCACAAAATCAGGGTAGTTGAGGGGAGCACGTCAATGGAAACCTGCACAGGGAGCAGCTCTGGGGAGAGGTTGGAGAGAAGAAAATAACAGCCAGGGAAAGGAATTTTCTCTCTGATCTTCTGCAGGTAGGAGGGACGCACTCGGCAGCTGGAGGTGGCACAGCTACAGCACAGTGCTGTATTTTTAAACTCATGATACCTTTCAATTCATTCCTCGCGAGGCTTTAGGTCTGTCTTGCAAGAAGGCAAGGAAGGAGAGGAACGGAAGATCCACAGTGATGCTGGGACAGGAAGAGGCCAGCTGGTGGTCACAGCTGTAGCTGTCTCCTGTGTCTCGAGTGCTGCTGCACATCCCTGGCTCATCAGAGATTCCCCTGCCAAACTCTGAACCCACATTTCTTGATCCAACTTGAAATTAAGAGAGTATCTGTGCCCCCACCACCGGAGCTGTGCCCACAATGGGGTCTCTAAGGAGAGAACCTGGCTCAAGGTCACGATCTCATCCCCAGGGCCCAGCACAGCAGGCAGGGGCACTGTGGGGGACCAGCCCTCTGGGTACCCCTGCCTGGCACCCACGCGCGGGTGTCCCTTCCCCAGCACCCCGGATGCTGGTGCGCAGCCCAGCCCTGCACAGCTCACACAGATCCTCATTGTGCCTTCCCACACAGCCTTTCACAGCAGAGCCTCCCCCAGCTCCGTGGTTCTGTGCTGGGGAGCCCAAGAGTCCGAGGCCAGCCCAATCCGGAGTGACCCACTGGAGGAGACTGCAGGCACCTGCCCTCCCCAGGCCCATGGGGCACATCCTGCCCGCACCGGCCCCACCGAGCCTTTCCCGGGGCTGTGCGGGAACAATGGCTTCCAGACCTGCCAGCGGCAGGTGCTGTGCCAGCGCTTGGGAACACGGGACATCCTTTGGGGCTTCTCTTCTCATGAACCCTCCATCCTCTGTGCCCACCCATCTATCCATCCATCCCTCGCAGGAAAAAACAGCCCGGGCCCCCACCCTTTCCTTCGGGTGGTGCCTTAACCCCGCCGCCGCGCATCATCCCACGGCAGGGCACGGAGGATGTGGCGTGGTCCGCGACCTCCGC